TCCAATTGTCTGATTTCTAAGATTCCTGTAAATTATACAAATACCTAATCTTATATAAAATTACAATAGTAAAATCAGATGATATTTTTTATAATAGTGATGTCATAAAACGCTTAGTTTAAGAGAAATTACAAGACTTATATTATATATCTGATTAAGAATTGAAAGATGTAAATCAATTCTATCAATGTTCTGATAATAAACAGGACAATATCACTTTCAATATAAAATAGTATTAAATTATTCCAATGTATTTGTGTTGATAAAAATAAAAACACAGAACAAATTTTTGCTTTGAAATAAGTTTTTACACGGGACAATATCGAGTTATTTTTTGTTGAAATTTCTGGGTGAGAATGTTGATGAATGTAAGCATACAAAAAGAAGTCAATATTCTAATTCTTATAAAAATAGTCAGTAAACATTGATAATCATCAAACTTGTCAAGACAGTAATATAGAAATTGATTTATAAAATAAAATACAGTAATTTATAACTATAACAAATCTTACTACAGTTTAACAATGCTATGTTTGAAAAATTAACCTCTCAAAAACTTCAGGAAGGATATTGCTTTTAAACTTTACCCAGAAGGGAATGAAGGAAAATTGCCTGGTTTCAACCCTCCTAGTTGCCAACATATAGAAGTGGAGAAATAATCAGACAGTTTTTACTAGAGTCTGTCTGACAATTAACAGACTTGTTTAATATTTAATATTAATTTATATTCATGAGTTTTCAGTAACAACTATTGATTGTAATATTCTATAACTTAACAGCTCTATTGATTGTAATATTCTATATTGATTGTAATATTCTATAACTTAACAGCTCTATTGATTGTAATATTCTATAACTTAACAGCTCTATTGATTGTAATATTCTATAACTTAACAGCTCTATTGATTGTAATATTCTATAACTTAACAGCTCTATTGATTGTAATATACTATAACTTAACAGCTCTATTGATAGTAATATTCTATAACTTAACAGCTCTATTGATTGTAATATTCTATAACTTAACAGCTCTATTGATTGTAATATTCTATAACTTAACAGCTCTATTGATTGTAATATTCTATAACTTAACAGCTCTATTGATTGTAATATTCTATAACTTAACAGCTCTATTGATTGTAATATTCTATTACTTAACAGCTCTATTGATTGTAATATTCTATAACTTAACAGCTCTATTGATTGTAATATTCTATAACTTAACAGCTCTATTGATTGTAATATTCTATAACTTAACAGCTCTATTGATTGTAATATTCTATAACTTAACAGCTCTATTGATTGTAATATTCTATAACTTAACAGCTCTATTGATTGTAATATTCTATAACTTAACAGCTCTATTGATTGTAATATTCTATAACTTAACAGCTCTATTGATTGTAATATTTTATAACTTAACAGCTCTATTGATTGTAATATTTTATAACTTAACAGCTCTATTGATTGTAATATTCTATAACTTAACAGCTCTATTGATTGTAATATTTTATAACTTAACAGCTCTATTGATTGTAATATTCTATAACTTAACAGCTCTATTGATTGTAATATTCTATAACTTAACAGCTCTATTGATTGTAATATTCTATAACTTAACAGCTCTATTGATTGTAATATTCTATAACTTAACAGCTCTATTGATTGTAATATTCTATAAATTAACAGCTCTATTGATTGTAATATTCTATAACTTAACAGCTCTATTGATTGTAATATTCTATAACTTAACAGCTCTATTGATTGTAATATTCTATAACTTAACAGCTCTATTGATTGTAATATTTTTAATTGAATTCCCCAGGACTTTGCGATTAGTGACATCATAAAACAAAATGATGTTATCAGTGTCCCTGATACACATACAAAATGTAAAAAACCTCTTCACAATCCCTTTAAACATATGCTTCATTGACAGTTAAACCTAACATTCAATTACCAGTAGCATAGGTAATTTCAAGGCATAATCCATAATCTATTAATTCCTCACTATTTGGACAACTCTGATACTTTACAGGGAGCTCAATGAGTAAGAGTGAGTAAGCGTTAGTAAGCATGAGTAAGAGTGAGTAAGCGTGAGTAAACATGAGTAAGCAGGAGTAAGCGTGAGTAAGAGTGAGTAAGCGTGAGTAAGAGTGAGTAATAGTGAGTAAGCGTGAGTAAGAGTGAGTAAGAGTGAGTAAGCGTGAGTAAGAGTGAGTAAGAGTGAGTAAGCGTGAGTAAGCGTGAGTAAGAGTGAGTAAGCGTGAGTAAGTGTGAGTAAGCGTGAGTAAGCGTGAGTAAGAGTGAGTAAGAGTGAGTAAGCATGAGTAAGCGTGAGTAAGAGTGAGTTAGCGTTAGTAAGAGTGAGTTAGCGTTAGTAAGCATGAGTAAGAGTGAGTAAGCGTGAGTAAGAGTGAGTAAGAGTGAGTTAGCGTTAGTAAGCATGAGTAAGCAATAGTAAGCGTGAGTAAGCGTGATAAAGAGTGAGTAAGAGTGAGTTAGCGTTAGTAAGCATGAGTAAGCAGGAGTAAGCAGGAGTAAGCGTGCGTAAGCATGATAAAGAGTGAGTAAGAGTGAGTTAGTGTTAGTAAGAGTGAGTAAAAGTGAGTTAGTGTGAGTAGGAGTGAGTAGGAGTGAGTAGGAGTGAGTTAGTGTGAGTAAGAGTGAGTTAGTGTGAGTAAGCGTCTAGTTTTTAAGATGGGACAATAAACTGAGGTCGCGTGTGCTACAGGCTGTGCATGTTATAGATCCCATGACAGTTGGGAGTATTTAAAATAGGCTAATTGCACACTGCATGGTGTTGACTGTCTTTATTAGGACGTAAAACTCCATTCATTTAATTTCTGATACTTGACGATAACACGTGAACCAGAGAAATATTTATACATATAATTAGACGTCATTTAAATACAAATGATATCAACAGTTACTTTTGCAAAATTTAACATGCAAAAATAAAGTAAAAATAAGTTATTAATTATTACTATACTGACTGTCTGAATTTTAAAGATAAACTGTCAATATTATTCTGTGTTGTAATGTATATCAAAAACCAGTCTTATCAAAATTAGACCAAACTTTTATTTTGTTTTTTTTATCTGCCAATCTTATTTCTACCTTTCCAGAGCTGGTATTTTGTGAGGCAGTTTCTATCAAATTAGGTCAAAAGTTAATTTGATGAACATTCAAGAGGGCTGTCATTAGACTCTAGATGAAGTGGCTATTCTAAAAATAACTTTAATTTTATTAGACTGTATGGTAGCCCTTGTATGGTAGCCCTATGTATGGTAGCCCTATGACAGGCAATACTAAGAATAAGTATTAGGTCTACCTAGCATACAACTCCTTAAACACATTATACTCCTCATATCAATAAAATGGTACCACACCCTTCCTAATATACAGTCATATCATTAACATAAATTTAGAATTAGGCATTACTATTTTAAACCTTCATGGAATTAATTGATGTCTAAATCAAAAAATTTATTTCAAAACACAAGGGAAATAACTGACATTGACTATTATATAAACCAAGTAGATTAACCCCCTTTTAAAGTGATTGTAAATAGTTTTTCTATGTGTATAAAATTCAAAAATTCTCTTTACAATCACTTTAAAAACTGGCTCAACAAAAACTTGACATGTATCGGTGTTATAATATAATATGTTTATTATGATGATATACACCATATTTTAATTCTTATATAAATTTACGTAAGTTTATATATATATTATATATTATGATGTAAAATATAAAAATAGAAAACTATCAGTGACAATAATAGATTTTTTATTTTAAACCTCTCTCTGTATTCAGCTAGTAAAATAGTTTTGTTGAAGTTAAACAATATTATAGAGAACTTTTAACTCAATGTTTGGTTACTGCCTTTAAAAAAAAAAAAATGTAAATAATTTAACCCATTTTAATTATTCCATTGACATTAATTTCATTTAAACACTTGCATTATGGTTTAAAGATATTGTAAAGAGGTTTTCTAAATTTTTCACGTGTCAGTCGTCTGTGGTTCCTGGAATTCCACTAAATCTAAGCATTTATGACGTTACTAATAGGAAAATATGTTGTTTCACGTTAGGACATAGCGATTAGTGATGTCATCAAACAAGGTAGTTTTAATGGAATTGAAGGAATCACAGACGTCTAATTGGAATGGTGTAAATTGATGCTATCATTGTATAAAAAGACATCTTTATTATCTCTGTAAGAATTGTATTGTTTCTAAACAATGTATAATTTCAGAATTTACAAAGTGATTTCTCTTTGAACACAGTGAATTAAATTTATTACATTTAATCTTTATTATTCACAATGATAATAATCATTTAACATATTTATTTTCTTGTGACCTTGACCAGTGTTTCTATAGGAGAGTAACTTCTATAACACCTAATACTTGTGACCTTGACCAGTGTTTCTATAGGAGAGTAACTTCTATAACACCTAATACTTGTGACCTAGACCAGTGTTTCTATAGGAGAGTATCTTCTATAAGACGCAACAATTAATTCAATAGGCCACTGAAACTTGACGTTTTATAAATAATGATATAATATACAGTACAGGTAGATCTAAATACATTATATATTATATTTAGAACACTATAATCTAGATAAGAAAAAAATCATTAATTATAAAAAAAAAACATATAGATATACTTTTACAATCTGAGAAAAATAACCAACTTATCATTTGTCAACATGTAAAACTCTATTTCATGTAAACTCTGTAAATATAATGTCATATAGTACTGATAATAATATAGCAATTGCTAGGACAATATTATATAGAAACTATACCGGTAACATCTCTTACTGCTTGTCTTCAATATACTGACACAATCATTGGATAGCTTCCACTATATAAACCTGGTACGAAATAAAATATCTATAAATAGTAACAATTCATCATACACTTTACCATGTATTTCGTTTATTTACTTCAAAAACACACAAAAGTCAAGAGAAATTTTACTTACTTTTTCCGGCATCATGATATTTTGTGGCTGTTTTTTAAGTTGAAATGATAAAACAGGATTTCTTATGGCTGTCTATTCGATTCTTCTATCACCTACCATAACTATAACCAAATAACAGACGACTATTTTGATGTTTGTGGCATGGCGCTAATATGGCATGTATCTAGCGGAAATGACGTCAAATCAACAGACACAGGCACTTCCATATCAAAGCTGAGTTCTGGTCAAATATAAAAGTTTTTAAGTTATTGCACTTTAAGGATATGTTAAATTAACAGAGTAATTTACCTCTATTGATATTTAGTTGAATGTAGAACACCGAGCTGGTATAAAATAGTCAACTATAAGATATAAATAGAACAGCTACTACAATAAACAACGTCGTGACTAACGGACCATTTTAATTCATTTGCATATGACAAGTTACTCGACTCGGACGTCTGCGATAAAATACCCGTATGTAGGTCAGTTAGTTGTTCTCATCACAATGGGGTTCGACATCGGTAACTCGACTCCGATTAACATAAATAAAATCACCCACGTTAAATCAAAGTCCAGTTAATTGTTGTTCGCTGTGAAAAGCATAATTTTTTCTATTAAAGAATAAAACTCAAGTAAAAGTCGATTTCATTGGATAATTTTAAACGAAACTTAATAAGATATGATTTATAATGGACCTATCATTAAAAATATTTATTTTGTACCCGATTTGACAAGTTTGGCACGTAGGCCCAAAAATATTTTATTGTTGTAATTCAAAGAAATATAATAGACGTGTAGGGTCTTTTGGGTAAAAAAAATATTCTTTAAAATCGACTGTTGCCTCTACGCTGTTCACAAATAAAGGTGAAAGCAATAACGGGCAGTAACTCTGTTTCCAATTGTTGAATATTAATCAAATACAAACATAACCTGGTTTGGACTATCAACTATCGACATCATTTATATCAAGTGTCGAGATAATTAGGTTAGATAATTGATCTGAATGGAATATTATAAAATATACTCAAAACCGCTCATATCCCTTTTCAAAATAAAAACACAGATTTTGGTTCACCCGAAATTAAAAAAAAAAAAAAAGTAATCAAAGCACTAATATTAGAAAAAATGTAAATTGAAGCCAGTTAAAACAATTCTTTTTTACATCAAAAAAATATGACAAATATTGTAGACGAACTGGGCGTAAGGTTTTTTTTAATTCTAGAAAGTGTTACGTGTATCTGGATTGAAGCTCCATTTACTGGCAAAGCGAAACATTAGATGATCATATCCCTTGAAGGTCATTATTAATAATATAGCTTTCCCAATGTCTACTTGAAGGTCATTATTAATAATATAGCTTTCCCAATGTCTACTTGAAGGTCATTATTAATAATATAGCTTTCCCAATGTCTTCTTGAAGGTCATTATTAATAATATAGCTTTCCCAATGTCTTCTTGAAGGTCATTATTAATAATATAGCTTTCCCAATGTCTACTTGAAGGTCATTATTAATAATATAGCTTTCCCAATGTCTACTTGAAGGTCATTATTAATAATATAGCTTTCCCAATGTCTTCTTGAAGGTCATTATTAATAATATAGCTTCCCAATGTCTTCTTGAAGGTCATTATTAATAATATAGCTTTCCCAATGTCTACTTGAAGGTCATTATTAATAATATAGCTTTCCCAATGTCTGCTTGAAGGTCATTATTAATAATATAGCTTTCCCAATGTCTTCTTGAAGGTCATTATTAATAATATAGCTTTCCCAATGTCTACTTGAAGGTTATTATTAATAATATAGCTTTCCCAATGTCTACTTGAAGGTCATTATTAATAATATAGCTTTCCCAATGTCTTTTTGAAGGTCATTATTAATAATATAGCTTTCCCAATGTCTTCTTGAAGGTCATTATTAATAATATAGCTTTCCCAATGTCTTCAAGTTTCAACACGAAGTTATATTCATGTGTCAGCAATATTTCCAGCTCGAGCACGAGTTGTTTTTCGTATATTTAAAATATGATATATTTGTTTTGAAATAATAAACATAATCCCTTTGTTTTTGTCGTATTTTAAATTATTAATTAAACAATTATTATAGAATTATTATTTAAACTATTATTATAGAATTATTATTTAAACTATTATTATAGAATTATTATTTAAACTATTATTATAGAATTATTATTTAAACTATTATTATAGAATTATTATTTAAACTATTATTATTGAATTATTATTTAAACTATTATTATAGAATTATTATTTAAACTATTATTATAGAATTATTATTTAAACTATTATTATAGAATTATTATTTAAACTATTATTATTGAATTATTATTTAAACTATTATTATTGAATTATTATTTAAACTATTATTATTGAATTATTATCTAAACTATTATTATTGAATTATTATTTAAACTATTATTATAGAATTATTATTTAAGCTATTATTATTGAATTATTATTTAAACTATTATTATAGAATTATTATTTAAACTATTATTATTGAGTTATTATTTAAACTATTATTAT